ATTCGAACCTTGATTCGCCACGTTGTGAGAAACTAGCTCTTTCCGTTAGATCCGACCCCTGTTGGTTCTCCTGTTTTATTTACAGAGAATTTTATTAGAGACTACTAAATTCCAAAATCTCTACGCTAAGACTTACACTTTTAATCAATTTTTAATCAGGCTAAGTGGCTCTGAAAAGTGTTTAGTATTCCCAAAAGTATTTTAAAAAAATATAATTATGTAAATTGAGAAAAACTCTTCCCTCTGCTTATCTCAAACTCTGTAAAATTGCTTTTAAAAAATTAATTCAAACACTTCCTTAATAAAAAGATTCTTAAATCTTGGTAAAATAACAAAATGCCTCTTCATAGTTAAAAAGGAATATTAAAGTTAATAGGCCTAATTTTGATTTAACTATTGTAACTAGATTTAGAAGGTGTTTGGATATTAGCAAAAGTTTTTTTAATAAATTGAGACAAACTCTTTCACATATTTATTTCGTATACTATAAAATTATTTTTAAAATTATAATTTGGTTTTTATCTAAATATTTTTTTAATTGAGATTTTTTCCAATGAAAAAGTAATTGATGAGCTCCAGTGCCGCTTGCGAATTCGCAAGTTAATCTGCACCTTTTAATTCCTTTTGCTCAAACAAATATCTCTGATCAAGCTAATCTTTGATATTTGAAATTGTAAACCCGTTGTCACCAGTCCTGATGTTTTAGTGACTTCATAAATCTCTGAAAATAAAGAATTTTCTATCTTGAATTTTCAACTGTTTTTTTAATTGGCCATAGTCTTGGTTTTCTTTTCTTTTTTTTGTTTTTAATTGTTTAAAGAAGAAAAAACAATAGTTAAATCCCGTTAAAATAATTAAAACTAAAATTAGTCCTACGCCCACGTTAAATTTTTTTAAAAAATATATATAGTAGGCACTTTGGAATTTTAACAACATTAAAAAATCTCTAATTTGGCATTTTCACCTTATTGGAACTTTGCTAAGGGTATGGATATAAATTTGAATTTTGATGTTTTAATTTGATTTAATTGGGATTTTCCCTTTTATTTATAAAACATTTTTAATTTTATTAAAAGTAAGAAAAATCTTAAATCTCATTAATTCTATTTTAAACTTCAGTAACTATCTAACTTTACCTGATATATGTTCTATATTTTAATACCTTGTTCTTAGAAATAGCGAAATATAAGTATATATTTATGTGAAAAGATTAATAACATGACATAAATTAAAAAATATATATTTTATAGATAGGATTAATCATTTGTTTACTTCGAGGAAAATAGAGGTGAGGAGAGAAAAGAAAAATTTTCAACAAGCTCGATTTAAAAATTTAAAAAGTAGAGTTAACATTTTTATTTTTATTTTTTTGACCAGCGAGTTAACATTTTTAATTGATTTTTTATTTTTTTGGTTTTACATCTTATGTTTATCAAAATTTTATAAACTCTGTTATGAAGAAAAAAATTCATAACCTCACCTCTCTAATTTTTCAAATCCAATCACTCTAGATTTGAATGATTTAATTATTATGGATAGGTTAAAATATACTTTTAATCCTTTAATTTTTTACAAAATTTTAATTTAATCTATCAACTTTAAAAACCGCACTTTTAGTTCTTTAATTCTAAGATTATTAACAAAAAATAATAATATGAATACTCAAATACTAACGTATTAAGTTTAAATTTCAAAACAACTATAATTATTGTATAAAATTATTATTTAAGATCAACAATTTTAGAATAAGAGGACTAAAAATATACTTTTATAATTAGGGAATCAAAATAAAATCTTATATAAAGATAAAGAACTAAATGTATACTTTAGTCTTATGGATAAGTAACTTAGTTTATACTACCTCCCCAGTTTTTAATATAAGAGTTAGTCGACTAATTTGAGTAAATTAAGAAAATTAGTTAAATTGGTTATTTATAATAAATAGGTATAATCTTTTCTAAAATATCCTTACTAATCAAGTGTATTGACTAGAACTATCATTATTACAAGGATTACCTTAAAAAATTGGATAAATATGAGAAATAAAATAAATTTAAATATTATATTTAGTATCAAACTAAAAATTAAATGAACTCTTATATTAAAAACTGGAAGCAGTATGTAACAACAAGGACATGTTTATCCAGAATAACAAGCGCAGGCGACGGCGACTCCGGCGGGAGAAGTTTTCCTCAGAAAAATTTAAAAAGCTGAGGGCATTTATGTAAATATGTAATGAATTAATGAAAACGCATTCGGAACTTTAAAGTCCGATTCCATTGAGGACGGCCCTGTAAGGGGAAAAAATCCATCACTTGGATAATAATCCGTGAACATGTCAAGAGCACCGTTGATCAGCAGCCCCCGAAACGAGCATCACTGGAGATCACGATTGAAATATTTTATTTTCTATTTTAACAAGGAGAAGTTTCCTCAAACAAATGAAAAAAACAGGGAGAAGGAACAGTAAATAAAAGAATATATTCATTGAATACACATGCCTCCATGCAGACCAACGTCTTCGAAATCAACTCTTGGGGGCCCTGTCAAGAACTTTGGGTTCAAGTCACAACCCACGCTCTCTTAAAAAAGATAGGTTGTGGTATTAAATTCCTAAATGAATATAGGGGAAATGAGCGTGTGAATTTAGGATGAATGGGCGTGGCTGGTGTGTGGCAAGTTGGGAATAGCCAGCACTATTTTAAGGTTCAATAAATAGTGAGAACATATAGCGGAAGTGGTCATAAATTAATACTACCTCCGGTCCTTAATATAAGATCCCATTTGACTTTTTGTTTGGTCCTAATTATAAGACCCCAATTCATTTTGTTTCTCATATTTATACATTTTTTCCAAGATAGTCCTTCTAATAATGATAGTTCTAGCCAATACACTTAATTAACAAGAATATTTTAGGAATGACAATACTTATTTATTACAAATAACTAATTTAACTTACTTTTTTAATCTCCTCAAATAAGTCAATTGGGTCTTATAATTAGGACCGGAGGTAGTATATTTTTACCCCAACCACTTGCCTCATGAATGGCATATTTCTTTGGTGCGGGAAAAATGAGGTTCAATCGTATACATGCCTAATGCTTTATTGCTTTTTTGGGATTTGCTGAAGAAATGATGGGAGGGAAAAGAGGAGGCGGAGAGATATAACAAAATATACGTGCTCCCCTTATGCTTAGGCAGTGGAAGTAGCTATTTACCTCGTTGTGCATCACCATCGGAAGTGTGCCAGTCTTTTTTTTTGTTTTTGGGCATTTCGAGATTAAATTTGGATTACATTATTCTTTTGTTTTTGACAAGGCAACATCACAAAAACTTTTGGCGCGAAAATGAAGGAAAAAGAGGAAGCACAATCATATCCACACGAAATCATACAAAACATGAGTTTAACATGATACTCGTTTATTTGGCTACTGTTAAGGCCTTATGGATCACTAAATGCAAACATCTTTCCCAATAAAAATTTGAACATTAATTTATTACTATCTCCGGTCCTTAATATAAGACCCTGTTTGATTTTTATTTTGGTCCTAAATATAAGATCCCAATCCACTTTGTCTCTCATATTTACTCAATTTTTTTAAGACAGTCCTTCTAATAATTATAGTTCTAGTCAATACACTTGATTAGCAAGGATATTTTAGAAAAGACAACACCTATTTAGGACAAATAACTAATTCAATTTACTTCCTTAATCTCCTCCAATTAGTCAATTGGGTTTTATAATTAGGACTGGAGGTAGTATATTATAAGGAATTAGTCCATTTTACTAGATCCAACCCGCATTGATCTTGTTTAACACTTTTATTAGTCCATTTTGTTAGGCTCTAAGAGCCTGTTTGGTTGGGCTTATTTGGGGTGAAAAGTAGCTTACTTTTGCTACAAGCTCGATTGCAAGATGATCACCTGTTTGGTTGGGCTTAAGTCCAAAATGAGCTTATTTGTTTAAAGCTGTTAGACCGGTGTTGGGAGAGAAGCTGTATTCTGTAACTTATTTTTGAGCTTATTCTGCTTTTTCACTGTTGCACATGTGTCAAAGCTTTTATTTTTCTCTGACTTCAGCCATATTAACACATTTCACTTCCTCAGTTTTTTTTTCACCTCAGACTCTCAGACCTCTCCCACATCCTCCGTCGTTTTTTTTAACTTTTATTTTATTTTTTCATGTTTCACTTTATATTTAGATTACTCCTCCGGTCCTAAATACACTCTAATTGGCGTCTTATATTTAGTACTTGACGAATTTTTTTATAATTTCTCTAAAATTTTAAAATTTAATTCACTCAATCAATTTCACTTCTTCATACTAAATTAATTTAAATTTATTGCATTATCTCAATTCATTTTTTTTCATGTTTCATTTTATATTTAAAATATTTTTTATGATTTCTCTAAAGTTTTAAAATTTAATTCACTCATTAAATTCGACTTATTCATATTAAATTATTTTAATTTCATTGTATTATGTGAAATTATTTTTTCTAATAATGTTTTATTATTAAAACTCATACCCATTTTGATCATTTTATAACCAAACTTACTTTTACTCAACCATAATCCAAACAACCTTTTACTAATCTCACTTTTACAAACTAGTAGCTTTTTTAAACTTCAGTCTAAACACAATTCAGCTTATCTAATTTAGCTTTTACCTAACTTCATTTCTTCATAAGCTATTTTTTCAATAGGCTACTTTTTCAACCGTTTCAAACGGACCCTTAAGGTAATATTGAAACCAAAGAAAGTTCAGATATTCAAAACTTCTATGCAACAACTTTCAGAATAAACTTCACCCTATTGAAAACCAATTGAGTTGGCTCGTGTCATTTTCACCTTAAGCAAAAACCCAGCCCAACCTATACAATCCCCCCCCCCCCCCAAAAAAAAATTAGAATGATAACTTGGTGTTCAAGTTAGAAGTAACAATGTGCTAAGCAAGAGAGGGGGGGGGTTTGGAGGCACAAGTGCCAGGGGAAGATAGAAGCACACAAATATAACATCCCATATGAACAGTGCAATCACATAAACATACAGCACCTTTAGATCACAGCATGGATGTAAAATACATCATTGTACAAGTTGGACAATTATTGACGGTCTACCAAATTGTATTTGGTTTGAAGAACTACCCAATTAACATTCGCAACAATGACTCAGGAAACAACTGCTGGTTTAGGCTTGGCCAGCGGTTCCTTCGGCATCCCAAAAGGTGGTCTTCTTCCCGGTTTTTGAAACTGTCTGCAGAACGGTATCCGGCAGCACGTTTCCTTTGACGGTCACCTTCTGTTCCTTCAAATCAATGTCATATGATTCTACACCTGTCAATAACAACATTCCTCATTATCAAACAAAATTGAACGAGCAAGCTATGGAGTATATTGCTCTTATCGCATTCTTTGGCAAAGATGCAGAAGCAAACTCATTTTGAAGCTTGTATGCAACTTTCTATGTGTTGTATTAAAAAATATAACGAAAGCCAATGAATTCCATAGCAGAACAGGATAAGAGGAAGCGAATCGGTTCGGATCCCTTGCATTACTTTTGCAGATGTAGAGAGCGTTAGAGCGCACATAAAAAGGAATAAAGGGAAGAAAAAAAAAAAGAGTAAATGAGCATAATCATAAATGTACATTTACATAGATATTTGCTTAGGTCTTTCCCTCTCATGCAAAAATGCATGAACCGAGAGAGTCTAGTTGGAACCGAAGTTATTTCAACACCTAGAAGTCCAAAGATCTTATTTGATTGTGTCACCTTTGATGGGCCAAATGTATCGAATGAAAGTACCGTATGAGATATGTAGGCATGCAGAAATAAGACAAACATATGCAGAGATTTGCCACCATAAATATACTAACTTCTAAGAACATCACTTTTAAGTCCAAGCACAAAGCAGTTTTAATGAGATAGCAAAGGAAAATTTAGAACTTAATAAACACTCTATGTGCACCCAAACCAACATTATTCATGTAATTGCGATGGAAAACAGAAATCGTATGATGATATTAACAATTGCAGTAAGAACAGCACCAATTATTGTGGCTAGGGTAAGATAGTGCATCAATAAATTTCTATACAAAGTTGATATTAGAATTTGATAGCAGAAAGCCAAATACACCATGCAAAATGAAGTTAAGCATGGATGATGCTATGTCCAGAGAAAGAAAAGAAAAGAAAAATATATTGAATGCAATAATTAAAGCCTACCATCCAGTTTTCCCAAAACTCTTTTCACTGCCCCAACACATCCTTCACATGACATAGCAACTTTGAGGACTGTGGTCTGCAATCCATATCAAGAAAATTAGGCAAAAGGGAGAAATTGGTCATGGAAACCCCCTATCTCACAAGACAGTGCATTCAGACAGACTTTTAAGTAAAATAAATGTACCGAAACAAATTAAAGAAAGAGTGAATGGAAAGGACCAAGGGCTGAAAGATTAACCTATCGACATCTAAACGTGATTACATCATAGAACAATTGCTCTGTTGTTCATCAAAATTCCAAACACCTCATAAAATCCAATAATTGATTAACTATACTAAAACCATGGGTTCAGGGCTAAGACGATGGCCTTTCATGAGGCCAATTTTTTCTATTTTTAACAAATAGAACATGCCAGATATAAATGTACTTGAAACAAGCAACGAAGGAGCATCGCTTATTCTGATCAGATTGAAACTTCTGCTAATTGGACGGCTTTCAAGAAATCACGTCAATTGCTAAAGCATACGATAGAATTGAAAAATAATAATAAATAAATAGAGGACTAAATCAAATCAGGAAGAATCATCAAAGATTCCGAAGGAAAATCCTGAGTTCCCATCAAAAACCATTTCTTCTAAGTAATCAGACTTTTTAGGAAAATAAATATCCAGTTCAGCACAGACATAATGAACAATGAACGCAATCGATCTAAGCCGCAAGACACGGGGTGAAAAATCCGCATCCAAAAGGAATGACCAAGAATCGCAACAAAATCAGATGCAATGAAATTAAACCAGAAAATCAGCAAACAGAAGTAAGAAATGGAAGGGAGGAGGGGAGAAGAAGACAAATAAGGGGGTCGGGTTTGGGGAAATCACCTGAGACATGCTAAATGGAGAAAAGCCAACTCCCTCCGAAGAAGCTGAACGAGAAAGAACTAGAACAAAAGCAACGAGTTTATGATGTTTGGATAGTGTTTGATTAAAGATGGAATTTGGCAATCGAATTTATAGACAGAACAGGAAGGTCAACGAAAGACTCGATGTAGCGTTTCGGCATAAGAAAACTGAAAGAGAAAACGTGGACATCGATTGTGTGGTTAGGTTTGGTGGGCCAACGTTGATCGCCGGCCTTGCTTTAACCGTCATGGCTCACGTTGCTTCAATTTTTTTTCCTTCAGTAAATTCATTTTATCATCCACCGCCTTTTTACAAATTATAAAAATGGAGGAAACACTCCATAAAATGTTATCAAGAAAGAAATATTTTATAAAATTAACAAATATAGCTAATCAGGTACTGTTATTAAATTTTCATTATTTTTTAAGTTACCCTTAGAATTAATAAAACTTTATTCTTTTACTAATCTCTTTCTACTTGCTTGATAATGCATCAAGAGTATTTTTATGCAAAAAAAGTAATCAATGCAGTATACAATTTAAAAGAAAAAATCCCTACAAAAAAATACTATTGAATTTTAAAATTTTAAATCAGTATTGGTTATTACACTTGTAAAAAGAACTGCTACACTCAAAAAGTAAATGACAACAAGTTTTTTGTAGTAATCCTTGATTTGGAATTTTTAAATTCAACAATCATTTTCTTAGGATTTTCCTATTTAAAAAAGATCTTATAAAAATATTATATTCTGGTCATTAATATAAGACCTAATTAATTGATTTGAGTAAATTAAGAATGTTAATTAAATTACTTATTATGATATTAAATGACAACAAGTTTTTTGTAGTAATCCTTGATTTGGAATTTTTAAATTCAACAATCATTTTCTTAGGATTTTCCCATTTAAAAAAGATCTATAAAATATTAATTAATATAAGACCTAATAATTGATTTAAGTAGATTAAGAATGTTAGTTAAATTACTTATTATGATATTTTTTTAATACCCTTAAATATCTTCTTTAATTCCTCCCTCTTTCTTTTACTTGATTATTGTTAAGAAAATATTAATAGGGTTAATTTAAAAAAATTGATAAACTTATGAAATAGGTCGTACGTACATATCAATATCAATTACTTAATTAGGTTTTATATTAAGGACCAGAGGCGTAAAAGAAATAAAGACAAACCATCCAAAAGGCTCTTATAAATCAACTACTATCTCCGGTTTTTAATATAAAAGTTTGTTTAACTTTTATTCTAGTCCTAAATATAAGATTGTAATCCACTTTGTTTCTCATATTTATCTATTATTTGCTAAGGTAGTCTTTGTAATATTGATAGTTCTCACCACTATACTTGATTAGTAAGAATATTTTAAAAAAATACTTATTATTTATTACAAATAACTAAATTAACTAGTTTTTTTAATTTATTTCAAATTAATCAATTATGTCTTTTATTAAGGGTAGAAGGAAGTACTAAATATGGATTTATTGGTAGTCATAGCTAATAGTAATGCAAAAGTGCTTCCTCCACGGTAAATAGAAACTGTTTTTTTTTTTTTTTTTTTTACCCAGAAGTAAATGGAAGCTTAAATCATCAAAGGATTAGCGCGTGGCATCATTTTCCCCATGGTGAGTGCTTTTTGTAACGTCTTGAAATTTTGCAGCTAACTGGTCAAATGAGAATCATATGAACAATATCTATTTTCAAAAGCGGAACTACAGGCATTTGGAAGGAGTCACATACTCTAGAATCAAAAGAAAATTTCAAGGGACTGCATTCAAAACAAGACACCAGAATTAAGGGCTTGTTTGGTTTCTTGTTTTGAAAAACTTTTTTTGTTTTAAAAAAAATAAAAAAAACTTGTTTGGTAATTTGTTTTAATTGATTGTTTTAAAACAAAAAACAAAAAAATGTTTTTAAAAACTGAAAAACCAAAACAACTTTGATATGTTTTTTTTGTTTTTGTGTTTTTTATTTTTTTGTTTTGAAAACTTGGAGAAATATTCTTCTCTTCCCCTCTACTACCTATTACTTATCACTACTAATAATAACTACCACTTATCAAAGTATAATTTTTTATATTTTTTTTTCAAATGTGATTTTTTAAAAAATTATTTTCCAAACAATTTTTTTGTTTTTTTCCTAAAACTTGTTTTTTAAAACAATTTTATAAAATTATTTTGAGAATAAAAACAAACAGACCCTAAAATTTTTTTGTTTTGGAAGGGGGGGCAATTTTCTAAAGTTGAGCCCTGATGCAATCGGCCGACAAATATTAGTGGGTGGGTGGGAAATGAAGGTCTAAAATATTCCTCTGATCCTGTTTATAAGACACTTCTAACATGTTTCACACAGAACAAGAAAAATTTTAAACTGTATTAACTCTTTTTTAAAATATAGCAACTTTTGAATTTTACTGCTATTTAATATATACACCTTTCAAGAAAAATAACTATATACACTTTAATAAATGAAGGGTAATATAGTACTGATGATGCCTTTTGTCGTCAAAGCACTCAATTAAACTAGGTTTCAATTAATTTGTAGTTCAGGATCGACCTAGGTCATTACTTCCAAGGAGCAAGTTGTGGGTTTCTTTAGGTAAAAATTCAGGTGATAAAAAAATGCAATAAATTGGACCTAAACTAAAATGCAAAACTCTAATTCTAAATGTAAGATGCAAACGTCCTAAATCTATATGAAAATTAAATTAAACTAAATAAATGCAATGCAATTTTTGGGAGGTTTTTTTTGAAGGAAAATAAAAATAATGAATAAAGAAATTAATCAGAAAGCAAGAGAATTAGCAAGTAAAATTCAGAGATTTCTCTTTCAAGTACGGTAGAGGGGACAACTTAGGATTTGCATGGATTTAACCTTCATAACCTTAATTAGTTAATTAAACCAAAGGGAAGTGATAAGAGAGTGGAATTAATAAATTTAATTACCTACTTGAAATAAAGGGAACCCTTAATCTCAAAAACCCTTAAACCATTAGAGAACTCATAACAGTATAAGGTTGGTCAATTAAGCTTATTAAAACCAATGAAGATATCTCAAATTAATTTTGGAAATTATGTTTGAAATCATCCAGTTAAACAACTAGATAATTAACCAACTTAATTAAACAATTAAGAGGCAAAAGAACTCAAATTTTGCAATTCAAACCACATTGATAATTAAACTCATAATGAAAACTCAATTATAAATTCAATTAACAATACAAAGGTTCCAAACATATATTCCAACGAGTATCTTGGCACAAATAAGATCCAAATATCAATTTAATCCAAGAATAAAATTGACAACCTAGAACTAAATTGTCTCAACAAAATTACAACTTGAACTCATTTAAAACTAAACAATTTCAAGTCCTTGAATTAAAAAGATAAATGGAACATCACTCCCTTGTGGTCTTCAAGTGCTAGCCCAAGGTTCAAGTCTCCTTCATGCTCCTCCCAAGTTGCCTCCCTAGCAAGCTTAAGCTGCCATCAAAATGTCTCTTCCTCCAAACTTGTTAGATGCCACGGCCATGAATGATGGTGTAGATGAGAAGCTGTGCGTGCAGTGAGAAAAAAATGAATGGATGATGATGAGGGGTGATGATGATTGTTGGGTGGACGTGGAATGAAAAGGAAAATGGGAAAGGGCGTGAGGCTAGAGGAGTAGCGGTGAAAGGGGAAGATTTGAGGTTGGGTTGATGATGGTGTGAATGGAGATGGAAAGAGAGTGATATGTAGGCGTGCTAGAGGGATTATTTTAGGAGAGAAAAGGAAATTTTCTTGGATCCAAAACTTAAGACCATTAGTAATTAACTGACCCACTTGATATTAGCCATTGGATTGTGCTTAAATTCCAAGAAACAATCTTGCACCATTGGATTTCCCATATACTCTTTTTTTACTTACAAGAATTTAAGTGCATCCATTAATGTAGATTATATCCAAGTATAATCAAAAATTAAATATTAAATCTGCACAAAAATTAGGCAAGAAAGTGCAAAACTTTCTAAAAATAGTCTTTCTAAAAATATGAGACTTGTTTCCAAAGAAATAGGAAAATTAATTCCAAGTCGAAATAGGAAATCACAAAATATCTATATTTTTAATCCAAAATCTCAATTTTTATGCAAAATCTAAAAATCAACCAATTTATCCAATAATGCATAAAAAATCTAATTAAACTCAAAATTAGCATTTAAATCCTAATTTAATGTGGGATAAAATGTATAAAAATTGGGATTTATCAAGTACATTCATGGTAAAAATTTAATAAAATGACTTATAAATAAGAAAAAAAAACCTTCTTTTTCTGTCTTATAAATAGGACCAGAGGAGTATATTAAATATTTTTATGAGTTAGCGAAGAAAAACTATTAAAACTGTTTTATGACGTATGAATGAAGACATGTTTTGGCTGCGTGGAAAAGCTGGAAAACTAGGAATGTTAATAATTTGGTACTACAGTACTTCCAATCCGAGTTGGGCCGGACGCATGAAATGTTCAGATCCATGTTTATTTGATTTTTGGTGAGAAGGGTCTCAACTCTCAAGAATGAAGAACATACAAGCAAGTTTGTAATTTACGAATATGGGCAAGAAAGCCCAACGTACGAAATTCCTGGATATGAGGAGCATAGCATGCTACCCATAGGGCTGTTTAAAACCGGCTCGTCCCGATCTCGGTTTTATTAGCATGAGACAGACCCATTCTGAAATTTTTTAGGACGGGATTAAAAAAAGGATCGGGATGGGACGGGACACGGGATGAGATCATCCCGTCCCAATTTTGTCCTGGCAGGTATATTTTTATTTTTATTTTTTATGTTTTGTATTATATTTATTTAATTATTAAATGTTAAAAACAAATAAAATAATAATATCCCTTAGTTGATACTCAATATACAAAAAGTAAATCTCCCAATCAAAAGGCCCAGTGTTTTTAAACCCATTAGAAGACCCACAAAGTTTAAAATCTCCCTTATAAGGCCCACAACATTTTTTTTTTAAAAAGGGACCGAGACATCCCGATCCTGTCCCAACCAGGATTGGGATAGTATTGGGATGGGATAGGACATGGGACAGGTTCCCTACCCATCACTATTTATCAGAACGGGACCAGGAC